GTTCTACTCTGTCTGAAACATTATGTAATATAATACAATTAGACATATTAAATGTGAAATGATAAAACACATTAAGTAGAAAATAACTAATATAAATACAAATTGCGCTGTTTAGAATAAATATTTACATGATTATTATCTGTACAAATTTATGGTTATGTGACTTTTATTTCTAGATATTCGGAAAAGATTGCTAAACTCTCCGATCACATGTATCAAATAGCAGTAGATGCAACCAAGCTCTCTGAAAATGAATTTAATGTTATTAATCACGGTGATTTTCACTTGAAAAATATGATGTTTAAATATGACAATGATGGCAATCCTACTGATCAGATTTTTGTAAGTACGTTATATAACATCACGCATCATCACACTATAAAAAAAACTTCTTTTCCGGTGCACAGATTTAATTTCCAATTTAATTTTCGGAGGTTCAAAAAATCGCTAAATTAAACATGTTTATTTGATATTACAGGTGGATTTTCAGTCATGCGTCTACACTTCACCGGCACTCGATCTTCTATATTTTCTCAATTCAAGTGTTTCCTTTGATGTCATTGAAAACAAACGAGATTTTTTATTAAACGAATATCTTGGTACCTTGTCAATGACTATGAAACAACTGAACTGCAAGACGCAGCCGCCCACAATGAAGGAATTAAAAGATACCATAAAGCGAAGAGCTAGCTTTGAAATGGTATCATCCTTTATAATTTTACCAATAATGCTGTGTCCTAAGACTGAAACGAAAGATTTGGATGAGATCATGAACACTGGTACTTGGGTTAATCCAGGCTTGAAGAGCGAGAATTTTAAAAAAATAATGATGAAGAGAATTCCTTTGTATGATGAGTGGGGTTTACTTGATGTTTAATACTTATGATTTCTAATAATCAAATAAAAATAAAATTAAGACAGATTGAAGAAGAATTAAAAAAAATAATAGATGTTATATCATCATTACAACTGCATTAAAAATAATTACAATATTAATGGAATACTCGTATTTTTTAAATGATAAATTTTACAAAATTGTCCTATGTTTATTTGTATATAATTATTATATTCATTAAATGTTTTCTTAGACTTCTACTTTTATATGTTATTTATCCCTCGATAACTAATAAATCTATCGAAAACAGGTCTTGTAAAGTCTTGCTCCAAACTTTATCGGCAAGAAGGATTTAACGGAGAAGTGCCATTGTGGCAGGGTTAAGTAAAAGCTTAGTTAAAAGATAAAAGTTAAGTTAAAAAATTAAATATTTTTAACTTAATTTAGTTACATCTTATCTGTAACTATTAACTTTTGATTTAAAGTCTCCCTTAAAGATACATTTTGAGAGTTTTTTATATAAGAAAGATACATATCTGCATTGGTGTCTTCAAACTCGAATTTCAGAACGTATATCAAGACAAATTGTTGATATAATAAATATAGTCTTGCCAGGGGAAGGAATTGCTGTTCATGGACCTTCTATGCATTAAATTATGTTGGAATAAGTCCCTCGAAATCGGTCTTTTTTTTTGCTGCCCGACGTTAATATAACAAATATACATTTTATTTAAAAACTTTATTCAACAACCCTGAAATTATGAAATGAAAAAATTAACTTTCGTCGAAACTTTCCTTCATGTAACATATCGGTTGTATTATTATATTTTGTTTTTATATAAATTGTTTTACGCACGGACACTTTGCGAGGCTGACATGCTCTTTTGTTGTTTAACTATTATTTCACGGAAAAAATTGCTATGGATGTTATACCAATATTCTTTATATTTGCAATAGAAATGCATGTGAATTTATTTATATTGATGTTACGTGGCATACATCTGTTAAGGTATGCTCATCAGTTTGGTTGTCACAACCGTAATGCTTAAGATAAAATAATATTTGATTAGAATATCTTCATATACGTGGTTGCCTCAATCAAAACTTTATTGTTATTTCTCTAATGTGGTCTGCACAACAAATAATATGATTGAGAGATATATATATGATATAGTTGCACGGCATAACATTGTGGCTGAGAGTTTAGTGAACTATATAAGTCACTTCTAAAGTATTTTAATTCCTATAACCTTTTTGAATTGTGATGGGGGAAATTATCACAATTATTACGTTGTAACAACAGTAATTTTTTTCCGTGTTGTAATCTAAAGGCGTATTTTTTATGAATTTAAAATAACGGGTTATATTGCCTGAACTTATTCTAGAATCTATCTAGAACTATAGATCTTTTAAAATTCTACAAGATTCTGCAGGGGAAATGTTCGCAAGACAAAGTGAGAGTCTCACTGTGAGACGCTGCGTGAACTTGGCGTTTTAGTTTGCATTTGGATTTTTTGACTTTAATAACCAGAACTATTTGTTTAATCTATCTAAAACTATAGAATTATTGAAAATGTACCCAGAACTCATTAACTATTAATAGTTAATGAATTTTCACGAAATAATATGTCAAATTCACACACACACCGATTAAACATCGATTCAATGTCCATAGACGTTTGTAGACCGATCATTTCTGTTTGTTTATTATTACATCAAATGACGATATTTCTTCATAGATTCACTCCAATGTCACGTCGACTATGACAGCAAATTTAATAAATCAAGGTAAAGGCTAATCACTGGCATGATGATTAATTGCACAGTATTACGATTGTTTATCGTAATGTTTATTGTGCGAATTTATGATCGCGTGATTCAATCCACATTTAATCCATGAACAAGAAAACAATTTATGCAAATGGTTGGAGGACAAAATGTCATTTGTTACATAAAGATTCTAGAAATCGATTCTAAAGAAGCACACATTAGATGTAGGCCGCTTTCTTGTTCACCATATGCGCGCGTACACAGTTAATTAATTTTATACGGTTTTTCTATTTCAATTCTATTTTATGTTTCGCAAAATGTATCTATTTGTACATCGTTAAGTCAAAAATGTTTAATGTATATACCTTAGATATTAATAATATTATTATATAAAATAATGCTTTGAAATATTATTAATGAGGGAAAATAATTAATTAATTTTGAAAATTATCCTTGAAATAAAATTTATTTTATGCAGCATTTTTCTGCGAAATCTATATTGCGCAATAAATTATATCAGACCTATTCAACACATTGTGTGCGAATTAAAAGCTTCCATCTATCCATCATTTTGTTAATTGACGCTTTAGCGTCTATTCTATTTATTTCTTCTCAATGGAACAACGGAGAGTGGAAGCGTTTAGCTCGCGAGCAAAGTATTAACCAGACTTGTTTTGTAATGTGTAATACTATGTATATATTCATTTATAATTTTCCTTAAACGTTTATCAGATTTCGTAATAAAATAAGATCCTCACTTGTCTCACTATCATATTGACAATAAGTGAGATGATACATGCCATATTCAGCTACTTGTCACATTTGCAGTTTATGATCTCATGATATTATTTTATCAGTTGCTCTGTTATCTCGATTAGCTTAGTGTCTGTTTATTAATAGACAAATCGGAATAAGTTCAATGTTGACCCATCTCGTTTATACATTCTCCCAAGGCACAAAATGAATCAGCAAATCTGTCGGTGATAAATAAAGATCGGAAGAGCA